GATTCAACCACCGAAAACAGTTTACGGAAGCTCCAAACACGGATGCTAATCTATTGCTTATTTAGACCCCCGGTTCAGAGATGCTCCAAACACGGATACCTTTCTGATACTCATCCTTTCACCTACAACATACAGTTCAACAAACATTCTTGGATGGCATCTTTAAGCCCATCTCCGACAAGATTCTGTCACATCTCCAAATGGAATATTTAAGCCCATTCCCTCAACTATGCTTTGACGAGTGCAAATTTATGGGCACTCTAGTGTCCAATCATCTTTTACCTTCGAGTCGCGAACGGCAAAATTGCCAATCTAACTCTTCAGGTTCAAGAAGATTGAACAGGGGCAACTGTTGTACCCCAAAATTTACCCTCCCTTTTTTTCACAAGAAATCACAACCTCAGGGTTCTCTCTGATTTTTCAGATTGGCTCAAGAATCGGTCAAACAGACTTTTCTTTATCAGTCAATCCAGAATTAGGGTTTTCACTGATTTTATTGAGATTGACTCAGGAATTGATCAAGAAGATTTTTCTTTGGCAGTAATCCAGGATTAGGGTTTTTCTCTCACATCTCTCAGAAGAGATTGAATCATCAGAAATTGCTTGTTCAAATTTACCGCTCTCAAAATCTAATTATCTGGGATAAGAGCTGAGACTTTTGTTTGGAACTTTAAGGAATCTGCTAGATTAAGTGGAGTGAAAGGTTTACCGTTTAATGGAATGCTTTGTTTGTTTAACTGTCCAATGCGTGTATTGATACCATGCGTATTGAGTAATGCAAGGTTACGAGACTGCAAAGTTTGTTGATTATTTATTTCATCTGGATTAGAATTATTGAGACACAGTTTCAATCATTTTGATTTAAGAGTCTTAAATAATTAAATAAATATAAAGGAAAGATGGAAAAGATATTTGACAGTAGAATTTTCTTTTGATAAAGACTTTTATTTATTTCAAATATGGTTACAAATTTATTCGAATATTGTAAGATTACAACTTATAATATTTAAAATAATATTTGTTTACAATAAATGAAAAATAAATCTAAGCCTAATCTCTTGAGATCTTCTACTTCTATTGCTTCCTCTATCATCCAATTGGTACTTAACTGCAAAATACAGAGAAAAGAAATTAGTATAAGAATTTTCAAGCAGAAAAGGAAAAAAGAAAATCATCATTAAAGCTTGTCGGCCGGAATCAGAATGCTATTGGATTCATCATGTTTTTATTTTTTCTCTTTGCAAATCACAAGAAGATTTCTCTTCTTGGTTCACAAAGAGAAAAGTAAAAAAAATATTGCAAGCATGCACATGGTTCAAATACAAAGGTATAAGGCTGCAAGGCAAAGCAAGGTGTATTGCAAAACCAAACTGCATAAGTCAAACAAGTCAGCAGGGCAAACATAACCAAGCATGTCAAACTGAGTTACAAGGCAACTAAAGCATACAAGCTACCAAGTACAAAGCAGAAAATATGAAAAATGTCAAAGTAAACAAGTACATAAAGTACACAATGCAGAGATAAACCAAGTTACAAGCCAAAGAGGCTTGTCCTAGCCCTCATCATTTTCTGGCCAGCAAGCTTTTCAGAAAGATATATTAAATTAAGCAAAAGTGCTTTTGAGAGAGAGAAAAAGAGAGAACCTCACTGAGAGTTTGCAGTTTTGGCAAAGGCAGGTTTTTTTTCAAGACAGTAAAAAGAAAACATAAAAGATATAAAGAGGCTACTGTATAACAGTCCAGGGGAGGACATAGAGCCCATAAAAACAACTCAAACCTGCATTACAAAGCTACAGACCAGCAAGCCTGCTTTTTTTTACAAAAACTCTCAAAACCAAAACTTACTCAGCTTACAAAAACCTGTAAACAACCAAAACACCAAGCCTGCCTTACAAATTGCAAACCTGCTATCAAAGCATAAACTGCATAGAACTATTGTTAAGCCTGCATAAAGGCCAAAACCAAAATCAAAAACCTGCTTCCCACATCAAGAAAGCCAAAACTGGCAAACCTACATTACAAGTCTGCAAAACTACCTGCAAGCCTGTTTCAAAAAAACACAAAACTAACAGCATAACCTACTTGTAAACTTGCCTGCTTGTAAACTCAAGCAAACATGTATAACCTTCAAACCTGCCTGTCTAAAAACAACAACAAACCTGTCAAAACTACAAACACTCAGGCCAAACCTGCCTGTACAAATACTCAGGCCAAACCCAAGTCTGCCTTTCATAACAGCATAACCTGCTTACAAACTTACCAAAAAACTGCATAAACTGCAAACACAGTCTAGCTTCATCAACCATAAAAGAAAAACAGTTCGAACAATAAGTTTCAGATCTTTCATCATTAACAAACATTCAGAGGAAGGAAGAGAATCAACAAAAATCATCAAGCTCAGTTCAAAATCTAAGTTTTTCAGAATAAATTCATCATCATTATTCAGCATTCAAAGAGAAAGAGAGAGATTCAGAAGCAAGTTTTAGAAACGTGTTCATCACCAGCAAAAGCAAAATAACATAGGGTTTCAGAGTTTCTTCATCATCAACTCAAATCAAAACAACAAATAAAGAAACAAATCTCAGGGCATCATCATTGACAAAACCAGAAAGAGGAAGAGATTCAGAAGCAAGCGTAGTTTCAGAAAATACTCATCATTAACAGGGAAGAAGAGAAGTTTTCAGAAGTATTCATCATCATCAAACAACATAAAGAACAACAAAAATACCAGAAACGTCGTCATCTTCATCCTCCGCTCCGACCACCAGAAGCGCCACTGATCCCTCTTCGCTCCCTCCCTTTTCCTCTCAATCTTCCCCAAGGTAAGTTTGTTCTCAACTTTTTTACTGCATATCAAGCATTAAAAGCCGTAAATCAAAACGTGCATGCAAGAATCAAACAAATGAGCAAACTATAAAAAACCCTAAGGCACAAAAGATAATGATTTATACCGTTCAAACCACAACCGTAGGCCACTGTGAGGAGGAAGAGAGCGAGAGAGGGCGACGCTTTGGCAGCTTAAGGCTAGAGGAGAATCAGAAGCTCATAGGCTTGAGAAAGACGAAGAGAAACGGAGAAGAGATGAGAGAAGCAGCGCCGCTGTGGCCAAAGCGTACAAAACCCTAAACAATGTCAAACCCTAAAAGAATTGTCACAACATTCATTCTGGGCCTGTTGTTGCACCCCAAAATTTGCCCTCCTAATTTCTTTTATTTTGGCTTAGACTTTTGCATTCATCTGCATCTATTTCATTAGGTCATTAACATGGCATACATTGCATTCAATAAAGTGCTTGAGGTTCAAAGTTCAGGGACTGTGCGATATTCGGGTTTCGTAACAGTTAAGGCGTTCGTATCCAATAAAGGCTGATTTCTTATTCAGGCAGTGAACAATGGAATTAGGATGGTCAAGAGAATCAGGGTTTCTCTTCATTTTGTTCAAACTTGGTAGTGGTTCCTCAATGGAGGTTCATCATCATCTAAGGACTACTTGCTTTATAAATCGACTTTTTTCCAAGATGCCTAAGGGATTGAATCAAAGTTTTCTCCTTTGACGAGCGATTAAGGATTGCTTTGGGTTTTATCAAGTCCATATATGTCTTGCTAGTTAAGCTATAGGTCAGGAGTTCGTTTAGCTCATTTTATCAAATGAAAGGTGGTTGTTTCAAATTCAAGATGACTAGAATTTATGGATTCATTTGAGATTAAGGTTCAATGATTAAACATGCCATGGAAGTATACCGATTTCACTTTCTTACCAAGCGTTGACCGGCTCAAGGGCTCATATATGTTATGAATTCCGTTGGCAAAATAATAAAGAAGCATAATTCAAAGTATCGGTTTATGACTCCTTTATGGCCGATTCAAGCATGTAGATTGGAAAGCCCATTTGTATGGATGTGTTCTACTAGCGAGACATTCAAGTAGATCAATATTTTAAGGTTACAAGATTCATCCATAATGCAAAAGCTCATTCAAGATTCATTCGAGGTAAACCAAGGAATTTTGAAATGAAAGGCTAAGAAATGTTTGGGTGCATTGATATGGCCATGTTGCGCAAAGTTTGTATTTGGTGATGGAGTCAAGTCTACACAGCATTATGTTTTTTAAAGGTTCGAGTTTCGACTATTCAAAAACCATTACAAAGATTTCAATGGCCATTACAAGTTATGTCCAAATATCCATGCAAGCTTCAAAGTTCGCATTTAAGGTTCATAAGAATGACAGGCAAAGTACAAGTGCATCATTACAAAAAATTACACAGAACATTTTCATTCAAAAGTTACTTCATGCGAAACTCCAAATTCTAGCAAAAGGATTCGAGCACGTCATGTATAAGGCTATAAACTTGTTGCTTCTATGATTGAGCCATCAAACCAATACGTCCGGCTCATTGGCATCGGCGATATACTAGCTACTGTAGGATACGTCCGTCAAGATCTTGCATTGTGCATTATGACTTCAACCCGAAAGACTACAGGGAACCTGCATAACAGATACGTGCATATACAAATCAACATGTCTTCAAAAGTTGTAACAATTTCATAATAAGTGCATATTTTTCAAGACAGATTCGGTGCCTAACATATAACAGTGGTGTTCATAAAGAGTGTTATTCAGTGTACTATACCACCACGCTAAACGAGGTTCGGCCCGTCTTAAACCTTCCAAAGAATTTACTCGAAGGAGGGTCATCTGAACCAACTGATAATGTTCACATTGAAGCTAATCATGGTAATGCTTCATACTCTTGTATCTAAATAATATATTAAAAAGTAATAATAAATAATGTATTTGAATAATATATTGTCTCAATACATTATTTTATTAAATATATTAAAATTTACCATCAATTTTAAGAAAACGAAAAAAACTTGTTTCCTAGTCTCAACATTCTCTTCACTCTATACTTTCCATTATATAAGGAGATGTTGTGTTATAGGTACAAGTATTAATTCCTTGAATACTTCTAACCCATTTCAAAGAAGTGTGATACAAAATCCATCATGTCCGATACACTAGAAACCCACCTCCTTGCATAACCATTCCCCTCTTCTGGTCACGTAATTCCCCTCATCGACCTTTCCAAAATCCTAGTCTCTCACAACATATATGTCACCAAAACTGTGGTAAGACTAGCGTCATTCCTTTGGCGGATGGAGACCGTGAGAAGCAGATTATTTTACATGAAGATCTCGAACCAGATAAGAACCAAAAACGGAAACATTCAGCGTCTATAATTTGGCAACCTCTGAGACTGTCTGAAGTTGAATTATGTCCTGAAGATATTCATGAGTATGCTGTTGGATGAAGGGGCAAGACAGTTCGAGAAACTTGGGAAGACGAAAGTAAGGAAACATCTTGCATTTCTTGGTTGGACATTTGAGTGGACCGGAGACAATTGTTATCATAGTAGACGATACCGGTACATTTCACCGGATAAGCATGACCAGAAGTGTTACTCTTCAAATTTTTCTATTTGCTCAAGTTTTGCAAACAGCAGCCCAACATGAACTCTGTGCTGCCCATGATTGACAGAAATCGTTCACATCTGCACACATTAAAGAGAAACTCGGTTGAGTAGAATAGACAAGATAAAGAAGAAAAAAAGTAAAAGGGAAAGTTGTGAAATTGGATCATCCTAATGAATCTAAGGTTATCTCTGTGAATAAGGAAAATAATGTAGCCAAAACAAAGAATAAACCCGCAAACTAATTCAGTAACTAATTTTCCAGCTCATCTCTAACAACCAATCATAAACTACCTTCTAACCGCCTAACCAATTTCTAATTAACTCATTCAACTGTCCTAACTAAATTCTAGCATTTTTAACTAACTTTCACAAACTTAACAAACTTCCTCCAACCTCCAAACTAATTTTAACCAATTCCATAACAGAATTTCATAACAAAAACTCCTAAGATCCCTGCATAACTTCTAACCACCTAATAAACCTCTAACCAACTTCTCAGACTCAACCGACTATATAATCCAGTTTTCAGGGGGACAATGAGGGGGATCTTCACACACAAAAGACAGAAAAATAAAAGATCCAAAATTCACCTCTCTCTCTCTGAACCGCATCGAGATTTCCGTCATCTTTCTCTATAACACGAGAAAATGCAGAACTCTTCACCCCTGCAACTTTTCTGCATCTTCATTTCACCATTCCTTCACAGAAAATACTAGATTCAGACATAATTATTCTATAGAAGTACACAAAAATAGACAAGAATACTCACCTTCCGAATCCCTCTCGGCAACTCCTCATGATCTTTCATCATCTTCATTACAGAACCAACAATCATCCTTTGCTTCAGCAATCATCTTCTTCTTCAAACGGCAACGGCAAATTCTCACTATTCTCGAATCTTTGTCGCGTATTCAACGTCATCTATCTACTGCAACATTGTTAACAACATCTCCAATCTGACACCAACAATAAATCACACGTCACAGAAACGAATTCGAAGAAGAATACGCTACTTAAGAAGTCGAAGAAGAAGAAGTGGTTTTCAGAAACAAAAAAGACGAAAGATGAAAGATACCTTTGAATTCCAAATATGAAGTTGAGGTGCAGACAGAGTCAAATCGCGGCTTCAAAATCCAAAAGTTAAGATACATCGAAACCGAAGCTGAGAGGCGCGCAATACTCTTCTGATCAGTGTAAACTTGCGCCCCCTCCGTGAAACGAACAAAGTCACCTCTATCTCCTTCGATCTTTGCTTCAAACTCCAACGAAAATCATCACCTTTGTTGCTTCGATCTTCTTCAACATGTTCTCTTTCATGCAAGCGGAGGCTTATCATCTCTCTCCGCCCTTGTTTCGGCCCAACGTCACAATCGTCACCTCGACTACATCTCCGATCTAATTTCGACGGTGCAGCTCCTTCAGTGTGAACTCCCTTCGATTTCAAATTCCAATTTGCTTTTCAGCATCACTCCGATGATGTTTCAAACATGGTGAAGACGCAACGAAATCCACATATCTTGTTCAGATTATTGACGAAGAAGGGAGACGGTGGCGATTCAGATGAGAACGAAGGCGGCGATTCAGATGAGAACGAAGGCGGAGAGTAGAAGATGAAATCGAAAACAAATTGGGACAGAGAGATTGAGCGAGAACGGAGAGAATTATTTGAGGGCACGGCGGAGATTGACATGCAGCGGCGAAGAGAAGGTATCGGCCGCGGAGAAAGAGGATAGGGTTTTGGGATTGGGAACGTCTCAAAATCTTAAAACTCTATTTTTTTTCCTTTTTTTTCTTTCTTCTTCTTTATTATATTTTTTTTTATTCTTTCATTTCTTTTAATTCAATAACAAAGTGACACCGTTTTTACCTTACTATCATACTATTGGCTTCTTCTCATTTCTTTATGCTAGGATCATGACTTTTTTTTGTTTGTTAGCCTGAAGCAATTAAAAAAGAAGGAGACTTGTTGGGCTTAGCCTTGGGTCTTAGCGCCTAAGGCCTTTTACTGAGCCTATATCCCGAATTTCAGGCATACACCATCCTAAGTCTTAGTTTTAATTTTTTTTTGTTTTTTTTAGTCTCTTTATTTGTTTTTTTTATTTCATTTCTCTTTTGAATTGAAATAATCGAGAACATTAGAAAATAGTAGAATATGATAGAATTTTTCTAGAATGTCTTTTTGTAAGATTTCAATTAGAATTTTCTATTAATTATTTATGTTTAGTAATCATTTTTTTACTTGAGATTTGCCATTCACCTTTGTTCGTTGAGATTTGCGTCTTATGCAGGTTTATTGTGTGATATGCGGATATGCTCTAGATTTGGATTGTGATTTATCTTCACATCGATGATGCTTTGACACTTATGCCGGGCATTTGACTTTTGACTCTTTTCTTTGATTGGTAAAGCTTTCACGAAGATCGTCGGGTTTCTTTGTTTTGATATCCTTAACTAAGGATTGATATCTGTTTGATACTCAAGTGAAGAATTTAAGAGATTTCAAAGCTAGCTAAGAGTGTAATTTGCATCAAGGGATTCAAGGAAGATTGTTAGTAGAATTTTCCTATTGCTTGCATGATTTCGAAGAGGCAGCGGACCTTCTCCGTTCGGTATCGTCACAACCCTGTTTTACTCCCCATTTTGCACTTTATTGCATTTCTTTATCGCTTACTAGAGATCATATGAAGTATACTAACATTAGGCTTAGAAATAGACTGGTCTCCCTGTGACTTTTCTTTCCCTTTTGCATTCGCATTTAAAACAAAAACTTTTTTCTTTTCAAAAATTCAAAACACTTTAAAATTACTGATAAGAATCACGCCCGCGCTTAGTATAGGAAACGATAAGCGGGTCTCTTCTCGATCTTATTGTTCTTCGTCTCAAGTATAGGTGTGGTTCAATCCTCAAAGACTCATTTCACGAATAAGTAGAGACGTGGCTAAAATCTCTCCCTTGAGATTAACTAGTTATTCTCTACAAGCGAAAAACACCAACAAACATAAAAATCTTTTTTGCCTTCGGGCCTTTCTTTCAAACTCTTTTCAAAAGAGCGTATTAATTCACTTTTGTGCTGACGCGTAAATCTCCAAAGGTCGAGTTGCGGCAGAAGGCGAAATTACTATCGTTCATTCAAAAACAAACAAATTCAAACCTTTGTGCGTCCAGGCACATTTCTTTCCAAACTTTTCAAGAGAGCATGTTAATTCATTTCTGTGCTGACGCGTAAGTCTCCAAAGGTTGAGTTGCGGCAGAAGGCGAAATTAATATTGTTCAGTAAAAAAATACAAACAAACAAAAACATGTAAGCCGAACTACGGCTGCTCTGATTCCTCAAAACGGATACGTAGGCAGTGGGGTAGGGCCCAGGCGAGCAAAATTTTATTTTCCCTACATTCTTTTTCCCCTTTCTTTTGCATGCATTCTTCAATAGTATAGTAAACAGTAAGCATAGATTATACACACCCATAAGATAGATAACAAGAGTGGATACCGTAGAGTACTACGGGCGTGTGGGGTGCTAATACCTTCCCCTCGCGTAACAGACTCCCTTACCCTTATCTCTCGGTCGTTCGACCTTGATTTCACCCTTCTCAGGTTTTCTCGATGTTTACCTTTCCCTACCTTTGGGATAAAAGACGTTCGATGGCGACTTCATTGTTTTGATGATTTTCAGCCGGTTGTTTCAGCTGGCGACTTCACTGGGGATTGGTCGACCAAATGCTGGTCCATCCCGGAGTCGCTCCTAGATCTTGCTTTCTTTTCTTTGGGTGTCTTTTTTTATGCTTTCAGTTTACTCATTTGTACAAGTTTGCCTGAGCATAAGTTTGCATTGCATTTTATTGCTTTCCCTATTTGTTATCTATTATGCTGGACTCTGTTTTCCATGTTGGGTGGGGATGTCACTATTGAGGTAAAAGGCCCAGTACCCAGGCCAGAGTGCTCTAGGACACTAGGAATAGAGTGGGGGCATGACGGCTATAGGACGTGGTCCGATTAGTGCAGTCTTGTCATATACCACGCTCGGATAAGGTTCAAATGAATTACTATCGGCACCCACGTCTGTGGGTAAACCCATAGTACTTTCAGGCGGACCCGTGATTTTCGAGTTACCATTGTCTTACCCTGACCTAGTCTTCACCCGTGAGTGGGGAGGGATTTGTCATTACAGGTACAGTTGGTTACTATGTTCAAATGGTTACTCGTGCTCAGATGGTGATTATCTTCAGAGGGTTACCCATGCTCAGATAGAGACTGTGATCAGACAGTGACTATTGGTTCTAATGATCATATTATGGACTTCTGTTGGTGACTTATGCATATGATATTTTGTTGGTGATTGTATGGTTCTCAGATTTATTTTCTGATTTCCTGATTTGTTTACCTGGAGATTTATTCAAGCCTTTGATCTTGGCATTCCCGACGTATTCAGAAAATGCTCAACAGTATCTGATGTTCCTAAAGCCTTGATCTCATGCTACTTAGATCTACATAGTACTCGGCTCTTATATGTGCGAAAGCTATGCCAGACCTTTGATTTGATGATATTCATATGGTTCAGAACAACGCAGGAATCATATTCAGAAATGATGGAACTTTGATCCCATTTGACCTCATGCCTTTGCATATATAACATGGTTAACCGCATACTCAACATACATGTTCTGTGATTTCCAAGGAATCGTATTTGTAAGCCTTGTGCCAAACTTTTCCATCCTTACTTACGTAAAATCAAAAACAAAGCACGTAAATTCATTGGGAATGACGGAACATGACATGGCATCCGTTCATGCATCCCATGTATATTCATGCATCTATAACAGGTACTCAAAGATTGGGGATTCTTATTCAGACATGGTTCTCCTCGGAGGTTTAGCTTTGATTTCTTACTACACTTGTTCAGGGATCGGTTAGGGAATAACTCCATATGGTATACCTATAAGCTTTGGTCCGTGGTCAGAAATTTCTTCGAACAGGAAGATAATTGATTAAAGACTCAAGATGAACCAGGTCATGAAAGCTCTAATGATGATCAATAAACTTATGGCTGCAGCAAGTTCTCTCTTCACCTCATCATCTTTTGGGAAATTGCTTTTAACCATGGAGTGCTACGCAATCCTGAGTTCTTGAAACATCTCATCAGCAGATGCTTCCCATTTACTGTAGGATCTTATATCAGTGCTTCGTTTTTGTTAACCAACGTCAGATGTGGTCGCCACGCCGGGGCATCATACCTTCTAATCAGGGGCATCCTCCATAACTTTGTGTTCCCTAATTTATTCAACAAGAGCCAGTCTTTATTCCCCAAGTGAATTCATGGGGGAAGTTTTTAAGCCAAGACACAAGAACCCGGATGAGCATGCTAATGCGAGCCCAATGCATTACATCCTATTATTCCCAGTTCTTCCCAACTCTGATCTTTGAGGACTTCCTCCCACAAAACGTCTCTTCTGATTACGATATGTATGCTAGATACACCTCCTATTCTGGGGTACCCTGTTTTGATGTTGAAGACTATAAAGGGGTTATAAAAGCCCAACACCTGTTTGGCGTCTCTTCCAAAACTCTCTTTCACCAGGTGGATGTCTCTTTTGTTTTGATAGAAGACAGACTGTATTAGTTTTTTGTGGCGTAGTATGCCTGATGATGCAGTTTTCACTTGAAAAAGCATTCAGTTGTTCTCCTGAAAGAATCTTCTAGGCATATTATTCTGGGGCAATTTATCATTCGATTGAAGAGAGTAAGTCATCTAGAGACGAGGTCTAAAACGAGATCAATCCGGAGACTGTGGTGTCCAAATCTGGAATTCTCTCACTCACCTCGTGTATCTTCGTGCATCTTCATGCATCCATAGCAGGTACTCAGAAGGTACTCAGAATGGGGAATCCTTATTCGGACTCAGTATTTTCTTTTCAGAACTGCCAATCTTGACTTCTCGCTGCTTCGTGATCAGATTCAAGTTATGAAACAACTTTGTGGGGAATTGGATGAGACGAACAGAATCAGATGGGGTTGTTTATTAGGGATATGCAAGCAATGGCCTGTAGTCAGAAATCCTCAAGGGGAAAAATAGCCAGTTGAAGACTTAGTTGAGTTGGGTATGGAAGTTTTCAAGACAGTGTCGGCAAAGAAAAGTGATCATATATACGTTGTTACAACAGGAGCTGTCATTCATCCCCAGCCCATGGGACATTTTTTCATGAGATACTTTGTGGGTCTCACCCAGAGCTTCGTATTCTCGGATTCTCTTGCTAGCAACTAGTTTCTGGTCTCCAAGTGAACCCATGGGGTAAAACTCACCAGCACAAAAAAAAAGAGCTTGAGAAGTAGGTTAATAAAATCTTTATACCTTGTATCCAGTCACTTCCTCGTGCGTTGGAAACTCAGTTGATTAAGCTTCGTGCTTTGGGTCATCCTCCAACAAATTTATCTCCTGATTTTTGATACAAATGCTAGACGTGTCTCCCATTCCAGGGCACTTAAGTAGGATATTGAATACTGCAAGGGGTTGAAGTATGAAGTTTGATACTTGTTTGGATTCTTTTCCAAAGTTCAGTCCATGTTTGGAAAACCATTTCAGACTCTTTATTTTCCTTAGTTGGATGCTTCTTATGTGTAAGAGGAGGTGATGCTTCTGTGATGAAGAAGTATAAGATATAGAGTTCTTGGATATCTGCTGTTGTGTAGAAGAAA